TAGTACCAAAGGAGTTTAGTGAGTAACTAAGCGGTCTGCTTCATCCTCGTTCATCGTTTCAAGTGTTTTTCTGTTTGCAATGACGTCGGAAGCTTAGGTGTGAGAAAACAAATTGGGAGGGTAGGCGACCGTATGCTTCAAATTTCTCTTGTAGCTTGACGCTTAGGGTACGAGGGGATGGCGAGGCTCAGATCTGCAAGTGGGATGAGGGATCTGAGTTGTGCTCGTGACATCTGTAGTCTCCCTTATAACATCCTTCATCCTCACTTCAGTCGCCCGTCCAGACTCACCCTCGCAGCCACGGCGACGGAGGCCATAACCTTGCTTTCTTTCTTACTCATCGGCCGAGGACGAACGGGCGATGGCGACATTGGTGAGCACGAGTCTCCCTCTCTACGGTGTTCGGCACAATTTCTCGGTCAGAGAGCGGGACATAGGTATCACAATTTTCTTAAGTATCTTCGAGAAGAAGGAAGGACAGTTCAATCACTCGACACTTGCCATACTTCGAAGAGTCTCGACGAGTCTCTCTTCCTTGGCTCCTGCAACCAGGCGTTCGTCCACGCTTTCGTCCACGAAGGGAAGGTGCCTCCTCGTCGTCGGATCTGGTCCTCTCCGTTGATCAATCAGAACGATAACCGCCCGTTCGTCCACGCTTCCAACGAGACTGCCGTCTTCACACATAGAACGCCTGGTCATTATAGCCGTATCGGGACTGAAAATTGCACCGAATACGGATATAATGTCCCGGCGTTATATTCGGGTGAACACGGTAGTATGGATATGGAGTGCAAATCCGTGGTCGGTAGCGTCGTGTTACTGGACCGGTTCCGGTCTATGTTCATCTACATTCTCCATCAGTTGTGCTGGACGGACGAGAACAGAACAACGCCAAACAGGCGCCTTTGGGCATTCTCTCAGTCATTCTATGAGTCATTCTTGGGCACGAAAGTTGTATTAGAACGTGGCTTAGGTGGGTTGATGATAAGCACTTGGTGGGACCACCACGCGGCGGCGCGTGAGGGGACCACCCTAACCGCGGGCGACGGGGAGAGGACCTCCATTCCGTGGAATCTGGACTCCGTCGCCGAGTTCGTTGCCACGTGTCCCAAGAGGGTCTTGTTCGTCCACGAAGGGCCGGTGCCTCCTCGTCGTCGGATCTGGTCCTCTTCGGTTGCCATCGATGACAACGGTGACTTCGAGGTTCTACTCAACCAGGCACCGCTCAGTCTCTCCCCTGTCTTCATGTTCGATGAGTGGGACACGTCCTTCGGACGTCGACATAGTTTCCCTGTCGATGGCAAGAGCATGTACTTCATCGATGAACTCATCGATGAGGATGACGGCGGCACCATACTGTGGCCATCTCTGCAGCTCAGCAAGCCTCAAGAAGGCCCCGATCTTGCACCCTTCTCTGAACCATTCACACGCTTTCCCGACCTCTCCTCTCTTCACACTTCTCTCCCGCTACTGGCGGTATCTTCGCACTCGCCCGAACCCGATGCTCAAGGCACGAACATCGGTCTAGGTCCCGACCTTGTTCTTGGTGGTCTTCTTGTACTCGCTGCGGGCACAGCGTTAGTCACTCTCTGTCGTCGTCCAGATGAGGTCGTGCGAGCCCGTCCGTGTGGATGGGGCTTCCTGTGACAGTGCGAAGGGTCACAGGAAGGCCCATCCACGAGTTCGTTTGGGAGAGCTTGTTGGTAGCGACGAAGAACTTCAGCCCATCTCTAGAGATCGGACAGCGTGGAGTTCGCTTYGGGGGACGTCTGCTGGGCATCATTGCCGGCCGCCGAGGCAGATCGCCGTGAAGGTCATCAACAGCGTACTGACGCAATAATAAGGGACAGTAATTCCWCTCACAGGGGTGAAGATTCGCAGCCGGGTGCATGACGTCAACCTACACGAGAGTATGTGCATCGCCGCTATGCTTATCTTGAATAACCGGAGCGAGGTTGTGCGACCGACTCCATGAAGCCGTGGAAGATCGATCAAGCGACGTACGAGGATCGGGATCGGGACGTCTATCTGGCAGCATTCCTCCTGAGCAAGGGTTCGAACTCCAAGCCCGATAGACGTCCCGATCCAAGACAGAGCGACGTTATCCTTACCTTGCGGTGGGACCTGACAGCGCACCAGGCAAAATCGTTTCTCACGGACTCGGCGATTTTCGGGCGGCTTCATCACGTGAACGTTTGCACCTTGTTGGGCTGCTGCCTACAAAAGAGCAAGTGCATCTTCGTCAATCCTTACGTAGCGAACAATAGCTTGTACGACAGCCTCCATCCCGCACTTGAAGATCGAGAAAGAGAAATACGAGGAGCAGGAGGCGGAGGAGGAGGAGGAACAGGAGCAGCAACAGCAGCAGCAGCAGGAGCAGCAGCAGTAGGAGGAGGAGGAGGAGGAGAAGCAGGAACAGGAGCAGCAACATCAGCAGCAGCAGCAGCAGCAGGAGGAGGAGGAGGAGGAGGGGGAGGAGAAGCAGGAGAAGGAGAACGGGCAGGAAGAGCGGGAACATGGGGCAAGCAAGAAATGGCAAAGGAAGGAGGAGGAGGAGGAGGAGGAGGAGGAAGAGGGTTGTGGGGAGAGGGAGGTGGTACGGAGGACGGAATAGAAGGTCAGCACAACCGTCTCTCCTCTCCACTTACACTGAGAGTAACGTGTCGCCGTTGCGCTTACAAATTGCCAGAGCGCTTCGTTACCTTCATTACRAGGTTCATCAACGACTTATCGATGGGGATGTAAATTGTCGAAACGTGTTGTTGGGAGAAGGAGGTGGTACAGAGCTGAGGGTATTCTTAGCGGATGCCGGTGTGGCTGYACTGTTCAGAATAGACCAGGCGACAGCCTGGCCCCTGGGAGCTCCGTATTGSGWAATGGAAAGGTACTTGGCTCSAGAACACATCCATCGGGATAAGCTAACAACGAAGACTGACGTGTGCAGTTTTGGGGTTGTCTATTGGCAATGCTCACTGAGTCACTGGCRAAATAGCGGCGCTTGCTGTTCCGCAGGAGGGCGACATCTTAACACTAGATGAGCAGGAGAGGCACCTGGCCAACCTAGATACCGTCRATCTGGAGGACGTCGTCGATCCTTCTATTAGAGAGCAAAATTGTATTCAGATGTGATGAGGGAAATGACAAGACAGATTCTATGTGTAGTTGTTGACTGAGTAAATCCGGACGCGAAACTGAGCTCGATTTTTTTTTATTTTTTTATTTTTTTTACCGAACATGGTACTTAGTACTTACAGCTTCGAAGAAAGAGATCACGATTCTGGAGAAGGCGGGAATAATAAGATTATGACAAGTCACATTTATCCGTCCATTGGCTAGATAGCTAATCCATCGCTCAGACGTCGTTAGCTATAGTGTGAGAGGGAAGGGTAATGGACATCTCAGTGATCTCATGCACTAAAGTGGAATAACTATATCGTGTGATGGCTGTACGGTTATGTCTATAGCGTTTGCCTTGGTGTAAGTTAACGGCTGCAGTCCAAGCAATACGACCGATTTCTTTCTTTCGCTTTCTTTCTTATCTCCTTTTTTTTTTTTAAACAAAAGGGTGGCGGCCTTGAGATATCATCATCGACATGACCAGCCCTAGGTAGGTTAATTTCCGAGTTGTAATATATAGTCCATCCTTCGGGACATCCCTCCAAATTGGAAAGATACAGAGGAGAGGAGACTTGTGATGTTTTACTCATCTGCTTCGCCCAGTGGAGTTCGAACTCGGGTCTGTATTTTCAGCAGTTCTGGGGTGTACCAACTGAGGCAGGCCAGTTGGTTTAGGACCCAATTTTACGTTCGTATAGGAAAACTG